CCCCCCCCCCCCCCCCCTCCCTCCCTCCCTCCGTCCCGACTTTCAACCATCTGAGGCCGAGAACATGTCCTCGACGGCCACCACCGCCGTAGCCCCCACAGCCCCCACAACTCCTCTACAGCCGCCGCAGCCCACGACAAATTGGATGTCTGTATACCGTTGACCCAGACCACTCATCACAACCCGCGTGGCAGCGAGAATCGCAAGGCAACAAACGCGTTTTCACCGCGTCCAAACCCACAGGGTCGCGCGGGGGTGTCGTCCTTCATTGCCACCAAGAGTCTGGGCACCTTTCGGGCCTCGCAACACGGTGCGCGGATGAAACTACTGCTGTTCGCCTCATCCAGGCAGAACACCCCCCGTAGAAAAAGCCACACCCGATGGCAAAAACTTTGTTGCCGGTCGACACGAGCGACGACACAACACAAAAACCGCGTGTTTGTGCCGAATACGCCACAAATGACAACACCTCGGCGACCGACAGACGGTGCGCTGTATTTCTTTACTACTGCTGTAGTCTAGACTAGAGCGCTCTCTTTTGGATTTGCTTGAAAAATACTTTCGACGAAAACTCCGGAACGAGCACCTTTGCTTGATTTTACTGCGATGCTCTCGTGCGTCACAAGCATTTTTGTCGCCAAGCGAACACTGCTGCCCGACGGCGTTCGCATTAGATGTCGGCAAGAGCGCCTCAGAGAGAGGCAAAGCTGAAGCTCCAGCAGTAGTACATCATCGCTTCATTGAGCTAAGCTCCCTTATGGTACACACAGGTAGACAAAAACTCAAGAGGCACGGGGTGTTCAATCAAGCATCCGATAATCCTCACAAAACTAGCGTGCTGCTGCCGGGTGTGTTAGCATAAGACTCTACACACGCGCGACCGTCAGTTCCTCTTTTTCCCTGCTCACCTCAAGCGAGGCACGACTGCTGCCGTCACACCCCGCGAGAGTCCACGCGAACAGGAAGGACCTTTGGCGTGGGTCGGTTTCAGAGTAGCCGATATCGGAGACGAGATGCTTCTACCACAGGTGCAGCTGAGCTCCAACCATCCCCAGGGAGCCGCGTATCCTTGCCGGGCCACTAGAACAAGAGGCGCAATATGTCTTCCTCTCTAGATCTACTCTTTGCTCTGTGCACTCGCGCCCTCGACATGTCGAGCACACCGCCGGGGAGTCCGTGGATGCAATATATCGAAATGTATAGGTACACTGTAATATCGTACGCCGGTCCCCGGACTTGCTTTGATTCTCCGTGCTGCATCTGGCATCGGGCAGACAGAGCTGCTTTGGTACTAATTTAGCCTCTGTGCGTGTGGGCAGGAAAAGAGAGAGAAAGGTGCAACCAGGTGCGAATATGCTGTATGGTGCGAAGGAATAGGACTAGTTGCACTGCTTTGGGGAGGCAGTTCGCCCGGTGTATTTTGCAAAAGTCCACATTCGTTGTTGTATTGGAACACGCAAATCTATGTGCGTGGCGTGCGCGTACGGGCGGCGCCCAGCGGTTGTTGTGCCACGACGAGGGAAGACAGAACAAACGACCCCTCATACCCTACGTGCTTTTGCAAACACCGTCGGGAGAAAAAGGCGTGCCGTCCGAACACATCGGTGCAAGTTGGCAGCAACGACATGGTTGGCATTTTCGCACAATGCAATAACCTTCCGCCACCGCAAAAATATGTTTCAATCGATTTTTGCTGATGTAAATAGTAGTACCCTGTCTGCTGTGCGAGGTGCGAACGAGCTGTGTCCGGGGAGTTATCCTTGATCCCCTTGTTGTGGAAAAGATGTAGCAGCAGCAGCAGTAGCTTTGCACTCAAGTCGCAATACTTCGTTCTCCGTGGCAAGTAGGAGTGTGTTCTCCCCCACCCCCCATCCCCACCGCCTTTGCCGTCACGGGTAACAGCTGCGGCGGTGAAACTTGATTCTCAACACTGCCGTAAGCCGTAAGTAGGTCGCTTCAGAACTCAGACATCATTCGATAACCTCCGCACCGATTTACAACCCTGCGTCTCAAATGGCGACGGTCGTTGAGGATGGCGGTGTTGGAAGCTTCTCGTCGAGAGCTTTCCGAAAACACATCATTTGATTTTGGCGTCCGCTTGGTATTGGAGCAAGTATGTGGTATTGTTAGTATAATTTATAGTAGTCGAGCTTTGCCGAATCGCTCTAGAGGGGGTGCGATATCTTCGGCAATCCAGCACGGACAGCCCGCCCCTCGCGCTCTCGTTTCTCACGTCATCCGCCCGGTTTTACGCTGGCGCTCAAGAAACAATCGCGCTCGTTCGCTGCACTCATTTCGTCGGGTCGAGGGTGGTCAGCAAGCCCGCAGCAAGCCCGGAGTCTAGGAGAGCCGGAAGAACCCAAAAAGCGGCAGCAGCAGCATCACCGACGCCGCAGGGCGGTTGCACAGCTTGCTTACTGAGGGAAGGAAGCAGTTGGAGCACCAGCGTCAGCCGGGCAGATCGCAACGCAAGACGCCTAAAAGCCCAAAAGAGGGGGAGGGAAAACCGTTTTGGACGGCGCAGGCAACCCCACCCCTCTCTCGAGTGACAACCTACATACCTCTCCTGCTTCGTTTGGATAGCCGACAGAGATGGAGGTTTGGGACGTGCTGGGAGCGGAGGAGCGGGATGCGGTGCGGTTCTCGTGGAACGTCTGGCCCAGCTCCCGCCTGGAGGCCACGCGGATAGTGGTGCCCGTCGGGTGCCTGTACACCCCCATGAAGAGCAGGCACGACGCGCCCCCGCCGCTGGCGTACGACCCCATCCGCTGCAACGGCTGCGGGGCGATCCTCAACCCTTACGCCCAGGTGCGAGCCGAGTTAATGTTTCTGTTATTGCCTTTTCACGTCGAGACAAGAGCATTCTGGTCTCCTTGCACAGACCGGGTTTCATTCTAGTGTACGAAGTACGTGTTTTCTCGAGTTAGGATAAGTGGATTGTGTCGTGCGTGTGTGCAGGATGTTGGCTAAACGAAGGTACAGCACTATGGTCCACAGCAGTTGTGCTGTTTGTTGGTTTTGATGGCGGTTTCTCTCTCTCTCGATCGATCGATCGATCGATCGACCAGCCTTTTGGGCTACATTTACACTGAACAGTGTACAAGTACTTTGCATACACTGGAAAGTGTGATTGATGCACGTCTCACCTCGAAAAATGGGGGGACTGTCGTCACAATAAATGGGGCGATATTACACAATAAACACATGCCACATTGAATAGCTGATGCGCACGACGAACCTTTGGGCTCGTGGTTGGTATGGGTGTGCTTCGTTTCACTTGAGGTCAGTCGCGTCGTGTTTGTGTGCAACGAACGTGACTTGCTAGGGGAGTTGTGCAGTAGGGCAAACTAGAGTCTAGCCGTGGAGTATATGATACCTTTGGTGTGTCTTCACAGCTTGGACTGATGGATCCCTCTCGAAAAGATTGATCCATGGCGGTGCTTCGGCCCTAACACGACAATGGCCACAGCAGCAGTCTTGACCCTCACCCCTTGACCGCCACGACCACTTGTCATTCCCGACCTCTCCGGTAGTACACGCAGCATAATTGATTAAGCAAACATATGGGATACTGTATTCAATCTGTGCTTTGGGGCTAGGGTTGGAGTTAGGGATAGGGTCTACGTGCCCCCTCCCTAATATTTTTCTAGATTACTCTTAAAATTCCGCGTAGGCGGTCCGATTTCTCCGGGACCCAAGGATTGGGATGGGGACGGTGCGAACCCCGACTGCGGTACCCCCCTGTTGAAGAAGCTCCCGGGCAACCAAGAGCGGTCTTTGCGGTCTTTATAACCCCCCGCGTCATTTCCGGAGACAGACTCATGTATAACGGCTTTGTACAGTAGCTCGGCGAACGCATGACCTCGTGGCAGCGAGACGACTCTTGGCTGCGAACAAGGTTGCCAGCGCGCGGCGCAGGCACCTTTTTTTTTTTTTTT